GCCTGGCTGAAATACTCCGGAGTCAATAGATTTTGTCTGTCAGGCTAGAGGGGTCACCAGACAGTCCTTCACGTGCTTGTAAGTGTCCAATAAATGAAGATAGGAATTTTTAAAGAATTTTGAAAACAGAAAAAATGATATATATCCTGGCCTAGCATCATCCACATTGATAACTGCCCCAGCAGGAAGTGGTTAAAGCCTTAAATCACCAAGATCTGCACATAGGTAATTTTGATAGTAGTTTGCTCTAAGTAATGCTCTGAATCTGACACTGTTTCTTTTAGGTTCCTTGCATGTATATATATATATAAAGAGGATTAGAATGCTGAATATTACTTGGAATGATTCCTTTCCTTTGAAGCAGTAGAAATTCTGTAGAATCCTTTCATTACATCTTGCTTATCAATCACTGGGTAATCACTTTCTCAAAGTAGTCAGTTGTTAACTTAACATTTGCTGCATTTACCCTTAATGTTGCATATGATGCAGATGACAGTTACGACGATTCTGATCGTGATGCCAGTGATGCTGGACGTTCCCTTCCATCCTCGTCTCAGAGGGTTGACCATGACCAACGTCACCGACCCCCTTTCCTCCAAGGGGTGGATCTGGCCCGGGGCCAGGGGAACGTAGAGAGCTCCTCTGACTCCGACACCGACTCCGACTCCGACTACGGAAGCAGCGATGCGGGGGAGGGCGGGGAGCTGGAACTGCAGTGGGGGGAGCTGGACCATGACGCCCCCCGCAGCAGCCAACAATCCGCCCGTTTGGCGCTCTGCAACATGGATTGGGACAGGGTGACAGCCAATGACCTGCTGGTGTTGTTCAATTCCTTCAAGCCCACCAGGGGCGTGATACATTCTGTCAAGGTGAATCATCTCCCAGTTTTTTGTGGTAACAAAAAATTAATGCAGATTGTGAAGAATTTTTCAGACTTCCCCAAAACCAAAATGTAGTCAATAGCACCTCCCACTTTTCAAATTTTTATGGCCGGGTAAGTCATCCCTCCACAATGCCCCATTTCCCAGTTTCCAGCGCATATTTATGCCTCTGCTTGCCTGTCCAATGCAACAAGATCCAACAGGTCAGCTATCCCCAAGGCCAAACAGTCTCAGAGTCTGTGGTTGCCAGCCACCACAGGATCCAACAGTGGTAGGATAGGATCAGCTCCCATTATCTGGACAAAGGACAGTTTGTTCAGATGCTATTGATAGCCAAGTGTGACAAAGTACACCAGACTTTAACAATGCTCTGCTTCGCTGCGTCTGGTAGGATTAGGGTTAAAATTACAAAACATCATTTTGCATGTAGTTGCTAAGCTGTTTCAGCCCGGCCCTTTCAAGCAGATCAATTTTGCCAGTACAGCCTCACATTAAACCCAATTCCAGTATTCAAAGGGTCCTTGAGATATGAGTTAGACAGTCCTTTCTGTTGTATGCAACTCTGCTTTGCAGTGTCAGCAACTCCATTTGTGCCAGGACCATATCACATTTATCGCCATTCTCCTCGGTAGATTTACCCTTCTGACTATGGTCTTGAGAAGATGCGAGAGGAGGATGCGAGAGGCCCCGTGGACCTCTTGGAGGATGGAGACAGGAGTGAGGAGACACTGACTGATGGTCATGATGACGACCTGCTGCAGCAGAAACTCAGGAAGTACCAGCTACAAAGGTCAGTTGGGCTTCCATCCTCAGTGCAAATGGTACTGTAGTGATACTTGGAGTTAGTGATGTAAAATGGAGGTTTGCTTTCTATTCTTAAAAGAGGCCAAGCAGTACGCTTTATAAAGAATCTTGTAATGTACTTCAAACGATCATGAATCTGAGACACAATTTCACCAAAATTAATTTGAATAAGCCATGGGAAAGAAGACAATAAATGGAGGGTTTGCATGGCTGCCATCTTGTAGGCCCGTGCATTTGTTCCACAGGGTATGCATAAAAGAAGATTTCCCTGCAGAATAAAAGATGGCTAGCACGCAAAGCCTCTATTGTGGTCTAACCGACAATTTTTCAAAGTATCAGCATTTAGTTGTCTGGACAAGTTTGACCCTGCTCCTGCATCTTATAATTTCGGCTGAGTTGGCAATTTTCCATTTGCACGTCCAAATCTGGTTCTCTTTTTTGCCATCCTCGCCCTTTAACAGTTTTGACATGCATTTGGGGCTTGGAATTTTCCTGGTTTTCCTTGCAGAAGTATGCATTATCATCATATTTTGGCCATAATTGTTCATTCCAAACATGAGGAACTTCACAGAAAGAAAGAGTACTATTTTTACAATGGTCTGAGCTCTGGGTTCCAGTAGGAACTTGAAAGAAAGGTAGAGGACAATGAACATTAACTGTGGATTTAAATATGTCAGAGTAATACATCTATTCCCAGATGATATTTTATCTTTCTTCCAGGTTAAAGTATTACTATGCTGTCATTGATTGTGACAGCGTTGGCACAGCGTCTGCGTTGTATGACCACTGTGATGGTATGGAATATCAGAGCAGTTCCACTAAACTGGACCTCAGGTTAGAACAGTGGGGCTATCAGAGGGTGGTCAGTGATATGGGCGTTTCACAGTAGTGCGCCTTCAAGAGTTAGCAACGTTTTGCCAGTCACAATGCGCGAAATCTGTCCACCCTTTCCAAATGTGCAAGGGGCTGACAAACATCTGCGCATTGTGATCGGCCAACGCGTTGCAAACACTTGGAGATGTACTATTATGAATCGCCCGTATTGATGATGGGTAAATGAATTCTGTGGCAGTACCTTAAGTTGATTTCTTGGCTACAGATACACACTGGAGAGTAAAGCCTGGTTTCCATATGGTCGTAATGAATGCCGACGGTACGAAAGATGTTAAGATGCCAACAGTGGCAGAAGAAACACCGTAAACCAAAAAACATCTGAAACTCAGAAAATCTTCACGGCAAAATGTCTTTTTTAGGTCGAGATATTGCCTCTTGAAGCCAATGTACATTCATAAATACCTCAGACAGTCTCCCTATTCAACAGTGTGCAACTTGACTGTGTACTAACATTTGATATTGCCCACTGAGAAGTGATATTGCCCGCTGCGTAAATCACACTCTGGCACCTGATGCAAGACAGTTTAATCGATTCTGATTGGTCAAGGGTCTTTGCATGTGGCTTGCTACAAGCGCTTCAAATCCATATGTGGATATTCTTTTGGACAGCTTATACAGGGAATGTACCATAAAAAAGACGGGGGTGTTCGGGAAAGTAAATGTAAAATTCTTGAACAAAACCATCGGAAATCCATCGTATATTGATTTCTTTTGACTCTCTGAGATTAATGAGCAACTAATGAGGAGAAAAACAAGTGTTATATTACATTCAGTTAAATTTATTTGTCAATGGTAGCATCAGAATTGACAGCAGTGCTACTCATCGGTAGTCCATGTGGTTACTATACTCGGTACTACTTAACTGCTTTTCCTCTTGTTCATGGCCTCATTTAGGTTCATTCCCGACAATGTCACCTTTGACCACGAGCCCAAGGAGGTCACAACCGAGCCGCCCGACACAGCCCTGTACAAACCTGTGGAGTTCCGCACTGCGGCGCTGCATCAGTCGCGGGTTGAACTCACTTGGGATGAGACCAACCACCAGAGAACCGTCAAGACTGCCGAGGCATTCAAGAAGAAGAATGTTGAGGACATGGACGTCAGTGCCTTCCTGGCTTCCTCTAGCGATGAGGATGGCGAAGGTGGGAGCTCATCTCTGACATGTCTTTAAAAAGGTGTTTTTTTTTTTTTTTTTTGCATCGCCATGTCTGCATTAGAAAACTTGGCAACAGGTACAATTTTCGCTGTATTTTGTACAGAAAGTTTTGCATTGATGAATGAGACATTGCTTCCAGAAATTTATATAATATCTCTCAACGGTGTGGTTGACAGAGCGTTGGGAGTTTGATTTTGACGAGAAATGTGACGAGAGGAGGAAAGAAGAGAAAGAACAGGATGAGGAACACAGCGTACCTCTGAACGAGGACCAGCAGATAGCCAAGTACCGAGCGCTTCTGAAAGAGGCCGACAAACACCGTCAGACGGAAGGAGACAAACGGATGGAGATGGAGATCACATGGGAACCAGGTGGGACAATTGCATATTCATAGAAAACTTACATGGGAAGAGCCTTGCATATTCATATGCATTATTTGCATATCAGATAATTACTTGGTAACAGTGTTTTTCCTATTATTATTAGAGCTTGATCTTTTCATTTTTTTGTTTTTGTCTGCTAAGTAAATATGAACATTCAAATTTGTTTTTCATTTATAAGGGAATAAATATGTGCGTGGCAGGTCTTAAGCATTGTTAAAATAGACATTGAGAATGCATGAGCCAAATCATCAGCATTTTCCAAACACCCCTCTAGCCACGTTGCAGTAGGCTCCTTCCACAAGCAGTCATAAACAGTGTCTTTGTATGGAGATTGGCGTGCACATGGTGTGAACGGCATGAGGTGGTGCACAGCCAGCTGATGCTCCATAAACCATTTGAGGCAAGCCACGTAATGGACCCTTGACCAGTAGGAATGGCTCAATTGTCTAATAGGCACTATTTGAAAATGGACTTTTGATAACACTGGTATTGTTTGTGAAGGCTTCTTTTTTTAAAGATTGTCTTCTGATTTTTTTGTTTGCTATAAACAGGTTTAAAGGACACTGCAGAGGGATTGGTGAAAAAGAAGTCTGAGAGAGTAGCAGAGGCCACACCTTGGGAAAAATTCTTGGAAAAGAAAAAAGAGAAGAAGAAGAAACCAAAAGGAATGAAACAAGAGGTGTGAAAATGGGCATGTTGATTACAAATGTCAGGTGTCATTTACTCAGAGTATAGAAGCAGTGTTGTAAAATATTCATGGTGTTCTTATTTATCTTGTAAAAAGTCTGGATCAAAGTCAGTAGTGGATTTTTGTGGAAACCCATAATGTTAGTTGCGATTGTAGGGAAATATTACCAATTCAAATTTAGGATTAACTCGCATTGCAAGTTGCTTCATTGCAATATTAAATACAGTCCGGAAAGTGAGATTGTGGCATAGAGAGCAGGATCAATGTTTTTGTCACATGACTGGTAAGCCAAAACAAACAGGCTTTTTATGCTATTCCGATTAATGACTTGGGTTGCAGCTATTTGGGTACCAGCTGATGTGTGATACCAGGAAACTTGCAGCTCAAAGAGCAAATTACCTTTCTGATCAGTCAACTTCTTTAGAGCACAAATTACATCTAAAAGTCTTCGGGAAAAATTTGAGTCATAACTAACAATGCTGTATTAGAGAGGGCAAACGTTCTTATTTTTAACCAAATGCTGTTGGCTGATTTTTGGGCATTTTGTTTCCAGGAGCAGGTAGAAGGAATCAGTCAAGGTACTGATCTCGCCTTCAGTGATGATGAACTACCTGCAGGTATAGATATGAACGACTCTTTCTTCAAAGATGCCTTGAACAAGGATGGGGTGAAAGGTCAGTGTGTTTGTTTTGATTGGCACGCAATTGGTATAATTAATTACATGTTACCCAATTTTTGTGTGTCCAGTTTTTATGACTTTACTTGCATTCATCCAGTTTCCCAAATGCCAAAAAAGGGGAAATTTCCTGAAAATTCTCAAATTTGATGCACTTTTGCACTGAATGTTTCATTACTTTGTATTATATTCATTGGCAGAAGTACCAACTGTAATTTTATAGATCTTTGAGACCCAAGCTAATGGGTCCAAACTATTGGTGCGACGTCATAAATTGAAATTAGAAAAGCAAACAAGCTGAGTTCAGATTGATGGAAGCTTCTTATTTTGTTCCCTCGCAGGTGTTAAGAAGAAAAAGAAGACAAAAGGCATGAACAGAGAAGCAGTCACCAAGGAAGATGAAGAGAAACTCCAACAGAGAAAAGTAACAGTGACACCAGCAGCCTCTTGTGCCAATTTTATCCAAACTGGCAGGAAAAAGGATGGCAAAACCTAAACTTTTCCTGACAAGGGCTTTGCTTTTTCAGTCATATCTCCATAACTCAGCGTTGGTGAAGTCAAAACTATGTGTAAACCATGTGGATACCATGATGTTTTTATCCATTTCCCTGAGGTACAAGTTACCGAGATTTCATTCCGTTTCCAAAGTACACCGAATACTTGACAACATTATGCCGAAAGAGTAGGTCATCATTAACCACTTCCTGCCGGGGAGCCCGGTTTCGGGCACCGTTTGTTTATACACGTGGCTGGGGTCTCCGAAATCGGACAAAGGGAATTGGGCCTTGTAACAAAAGATCGTATTTGGAACAAAAGACCATGCTGCTGGGAATTACCGACATTTTCCCACTCTCAACGGTGGAGATAATCCAGCCCTGTTTTGAAACAGTATACCACGTTTTGGGGCATTTAGTGCGAGCCGATTACCACTGGGGACAAAAGTGCTCCACCACTGCAGCGATGAGCCACATAGCACCGCTGCACGCTAATCTGGCCCCTATTGAAAAGAGGTCAGCAGCACACTGAGCCAGGTTCATGAACAAAGGAAGGTTACATAACACCACACAATCTGGGCTCTTTTTACAAGGCTGCAGGCCTGGCTGAAATACTCAGGCGTCAATAGATTTTGTCTGCCACCAGACAGTAATTCTTGTGGGTGTAAATGTCCATTAATTGAAATGATGAATTTTTGAAGAGTTTTGAAAACTGAAAATCTTGAAAAAATCCTGATTATGTGCACTGCATTTTTCAAACAACCTGGCAAGTGGTTAAACCTCTCTCATGCCCATGTTTCACCTTGGAATATGCTGTTTTGCTTTCCTAAAAACAGTACAAATGTCTCTCCCAATTGTACGCTGACGTCTTGATGTGTGATGCAGGAGAATTGTCCAATGTGTACTTTCAAGTACTAAAATCCTTGCATTATGTTACCACAAAATCCTGTGGCACAGTGGAGCAGATAAGCAAGGTACCAGCCTATCTGATGAAATAAAAACAATGAGTAACACATTGTGACATATTTGGGACCATTGGGTTGATAATTTGGTGCTAGGAAAACTCTTTTGAGGTTATTGACAAACTCAGTGTTTTGGAATGCATTGAAGGAAAATTAATGGAAACAATTTTTCCCCTTTTTATGTTGAAGAAAACTTAGGCAGGCCTGGCATTTTCCCATTCTGACCCACGTAGTTTTCATGGATTGTGTGAAGTATTTATGGCTGCTCAATTTTTGCCTTTTTCCGTTGACAGTCTGAGCTTGAGTTGCTGTTCATGGATGACGACGATGGCAAGAAACACTTCAGCCTGAAGCAGATCATGGAGAATGAGCAGAACCAGGGCAAGAAGGCCAAGAGGAAGAAGAAGAAAGGGCAACAGGAGGAGGAGACCAAGTTGGAGGATGACTTTGAGGTCGACGTAAAAGACGACCGCTTCCAGGCCCTCTTTACGTCCCACCTCTACGCCATGGACCCCTCCGACCCGCAGTTCAAGAAAACCAAGGCGACTGACACCTTGCTGGCGGAGCGGCAGAGGCGAAGGCAGCTGGCGGAGGAACAGGGAAGGCGGGGCATGGCTGCCACGTCCGTGGCCACACTGGAGACAGCACCGAAGGCTGACGCTGGGAAGCCGGTGCCGAGAAATGCTGAACTCTCCATGCTTGTCAAATCTGTCAAGAATAAGACAGACCAGTTTAACGAGAGGAAGTTAAAACGGCAGAAAGTAAATTGAAACAAATTCATCGTGTCGTTATGTAAATTTTTGTAAGATTTAGTCACTGCAAATAATATTATAAATGATATTCTTCTCTACACAAAATGTTAAAATTCGATTTAGTTTTGTGGTCATTTTTTAAAATTAGTTTCTGGCTCAATGTTGACTTACAACCTTAATTCATCTCTTATGAATTGTCAGAAAAATACAGTTACTCAGCCATTTTTGCACTGCCCAGAGATTACTAAAGAGGTTATTTGATTTTCATTCCATGCAATCATGAAAGTATCACCTTCATTTTAAGGAATGAGTCATGCGGCGGAGAAAAGGAGCAACAAAATCATATTTGAGGCATTGGGTACAAATTGTTCATTAAAAATACAAAATGTATGTTAACTTGTGAGCTGAAGGAAAATCCAGTGAACGAATAACATGTCTTTGGTCAAGGTCGCTGAAAAAGAAGAGAAATTGACAAAGCTGTTTTCTCAATCTTTTCAAACAGTTTGGATCCTTATTTTAATAATTGAACAATATTTTCCCTTCAAAGATCCTTCTATCAATCTAAGAATTCCCAGCACTGAGTTGTTGTACAGCTGTCTTGTCAAATTATTCCAGCGAAGTGGAGTGTTTGGTTCAAATCTTTTTTTTTTTCGGAATTGGGGTTTTCCTGGCATCTCGTGTATATTAATATTAGCCACTGATGAGGGTTACCAACTACATATAGATCACCCGGTTGCTGGCCACGCGCGTTCAGTCGTTTGGTAGAAGCACGTTGATATTATGATCAAAAGACGTCTTGTTAGACCTACAGAGGGCGCTAAACAAGAATAATAGTGAATACTGCTTTCGACATTTGTACGGTACGCGGCCACGTATCAGACATTGTCTGGCTCCGTTCGAAGAAGTAAGCATGTCTGAATAGTAGTAACGTCAGTAGGCCTAGGATGTTTTAGAGAATGGAGTTTTTGGTTGGCAGTATGGAGGAAGGAATGCCTGACTGAGCTGAGTTTCAGGCTTTTCTCATCTGCAATCTGTATGTGATTTTAGTGTGTTTTTGTATTTGTTAACATTTTAAGATACCGGCTGCGCTTGTCAGTGATTAAGTTTGCTTGTTATCCTTCAGGGGTGTTGGCAAATGTTGTTATGTAATCAGCTAATCAGGTCGGGAACCAAACCACAATTTAGCTAGTACGCACTAGGGACGAAGGCAGAGGCTGTGCATATACGGCTCGTTTGCGCAACGATGACGTAATTTTTAAAAAAGTATTTTTAGATCACGGTTTGCGGATGACATCAATCTCTTTATCGGCCAAAAACTTCAATACAAATTTCTGTAATTGATCAAATTTACAGGAAACATGCATTCCAAGTTCTAAATGAAACTTTCCGTTCATTTGGTATCTATAAAAGCAGATTGAGGAGATTTTTCAGTCGAATCTTGTACTGGATGTGTCGAATTCGGTAGGCAGGCGAGTCCAATTCTGCCAATGAAAACGTTTATGCGAAAAAAAGCATGCCGGCAGCCATGTTGGCTGCCGGCATTTCAAATCTTGTTATTTACCCAAAATCGCGCGGGAAAATTCCATTATCATCATGTGACCTGATAAAAATGATGTCATTGCCGCTTGAACAAGTGACATAAGCAGAAAGTAGGGACGTCGCTAGATTGTGGTTTGGTCCCCAACCTGCTAATCGGTGTCGCACTATCGTCAACATCGTCACTATCACTATCGTCTGTCGTCAACATTGTTCTACAATGTTCTCCGTGTTCCATTGAAGTTTTGCATACTGGTTGACAAAAAAAGATTGAACATGTTGTTTGAACTTAATTCAATTGGTGTACATATTGATGTGGAAATTTAGCATCATGGATAAAAATATTGGAAGACACGGTAAGGGCTCCAAATATGTGGATGCCACTCGACACCCTGAACACAAACCCTATGACTACAGTGTAAGACACTGGTCTGAAAAGTCTTAGCGTTTTCTCAGTAAACGACTTGGTATTTTCCCTCCTAAATTGAACTTTTCTCGACATAATTCTGCTTTATGATGGCTAGTAATAAGTCACTGTAAGGAATAATCACTGGTGTCCTTATATGGAACTCTTCCCAAAGACGCAACTGGCTGTGATATCGGAGGGTTTTGGGACTGATGAGAAGCTGCACTGTGTGACTTCCCCCAAGTCTAATACCACAAATCCATTATGTCTGGGAGTGCATCCTCTTCCCAGACTGAAGATGGCAACATTGAGGAATATCACCAGGAAATGCTACGACGGGCCGAATTGCAGTGTGAACTGACCCTAAGAAAGGCCAACATCAAGAAATTGATGGAGGACATCAGTGTCTTAGCTGAGGTATACCGGCAGATTTTTGACATTTTGATTTGACTGAATGTGGCATGTGCTTTTCTTACATGTGGGTGTGGGCTTGTTAGTCTTGGGTAACAGAAATAGAAAACATTTTATTCACAGGCAAACGCTGTCTTAGTTCAAGAAATACATGGTAAGACTTGGCCTTGTCCAAAGCGGTTTACGTGGCCGTTAAACCCCCGCAGAGATCCAGGCCGTACGCACGCAAACCACAGCAAACGAGCTGTCACCCTAGTACAGTACACCAGCGAACCACAGGGATCCCTGTGCACCAACTCAAAAACTGAGCCACTGCAGACATGTGTGCATATATACATGTACAGTGTACATAACCCCACCTACGTATGTGCGTCAGCTGTCCGTATCATCATACATGTTCATGATGTCGAGTTGAAAAACCCACCGGGACAAGGAAGCATATGAGTAAGCTGAGAGGGGCGCAACGGCTTGACTGCTGCTCGCAAAGCATAACAGCCTGACGTACTGTGCAATGTACCGTACGTGTTAAAAGCAAACCTGCTGCAGCGGGGAGGGTATTGTGCAACACACCATGCAATGTTTCCGCCACGCAGGTACAGCAGGCCTGACGGCTGGGGTTGTCAAAATCGTCGCCCAATGCCTTGATCAAGGCTAGGTAAGACTGTGTCTTTTAATTTCTACCTGGAACTGAGACAGTATTTGCCTGTGGGCCAAGCTACATGTACATCAAACACAATGTGGTCTGTTGAAGTGTGCGATACTGCATGTACTGTGGGATATGTACACAGTATATGTCAGCATTCTGGCGATGACGTCATCAGCCTGGGAGCCTGAAAGGCCAAAAGGGATTTTTTGTGGATGGGGAAACGCAGGATCTTTTATTCATTTTGGGGTCACAATTAATGGGGTAAACATTAAATATATGATGTTTTTTAAATGGATACATGCGTATTTATTATTGCGGACTGGTTGTTTTGTAAAAAATATTACCAAGTCAAGAAAGAAAAATACTTACAAAAGGGGCAGACGGGGACAAGAGAATTAGTCCTTTTCTGGTCTAAAACATGCATTAAGTCAACCTTCCAGTCCGTCTTAATTCAACAAGAAGTGAGTTGTTGGCGTAGCCATTGCCATATCAAATACAAACAAGCTGGCTCACCCTTGAAAGATAGGTGGTCAAGTGTGGCAAGAAACTCAGTCCCAAGTACGAAGTTCTGAGACTTGGGCTCACCCAGTATACAGATTTAACCACAAATTACATGAAATACATGTATATTGCTCTGATAAACATTTGTTACAGGCATTTGAATCATGACATCACCTGTCCCTAAAAATTATCTGCAAGTGCACACTTGGACTTTGTTGAAAATGGTGTCTTTAAATTATAGACATCAAACTCTATAAATTTTTCATGCCCTCTTTCTCTTACATGAAGGAATTGAAACGTGAATGCTTAGTTGAGAAGTGGGGTAGTTGTCCACAGAATGATGGCTCGCAGCGAGTCAAACCAGACGTCCAGACTGCAGCACTTTGTGCTGAAGTGGCTGAAAACCCGGAGTTGCTCGATGGTAAAGAAGTGCTTATTTTATGTCATTCTCACATCTTGTGAGTCCTGAATGGGAAACATAAGGTCAGAGAAATCTTTTCTCATTTCTGTGTAAACTGAACCTATTTGTCAGGGCAAGAGTGGTCCAATTGGAAGTGGCAGAATTTTGCAGCCAAATGAGGGTTGTTGGGTGTTTGGAGTCAAATAAAAAAAAAGAAGCTTGTGACTTGTGAGCCACTCCACAAAATTAAAAACCAACAAAGTGAAACAGCAATTTCAAGCTGTTTGTGAGAGATTGCAGTTCACATTAGCAGTGTAAAAGCATTACTTCTGGGAGGGTAGTAAATTTTGTGATGATTTAGATACATGACAGAAAAGAAATACATTGGACTTTTTATCACCGGAGATATTTTTCTAATTTGCAACAGAGGTGTTGATGAGACTTCACTATCAGAAAGCCAAGCTGAAGTCTGAGGTCACGGAGGTCATGTCAAAGTTGAAGCCGTGGGATGAGCCAGTGTGGTAAACTGTACCTTGCCATAATTTGATTTGCTAGAATGTGGGACTAGCTCAAGCCAGTCGGTGTTTGCTGATTGGAGCCATATTTCAGGGGCAAGTATCCCCTACTTCCTCCTGGCTGATTATGTATTCACATCACCAAGGTGACTGGCTGGCTGAGTGCCATGAAAGGTCATCTTGTGGCGGATGGGAAAATCCATGTGATGCCTGGCAGTAGAGTAGGCACACATGCGCTGCAGGGTGGAACTCCCACTGACGACCGTCAGCTTGACACTGAGAAATCATCTTTCACATGCCAACACTGCAAGGGATGTACCAACATTTACTGTGGTGACTCAAGCCGTTCGCTTTTTCGTGGCAAAAGTTGACAATGTGTGACCCATCCACAAACCTGAACGTCTGCCAACAAGTCTCCCCCAGTCTTGGGTACTCCACTGGTTGAATTGACTTTTTCTTGGAAGTACAATGTAGTGCACCAAAGTGACAAATGTTGCCATGTAGCATGAAACAGGAAGCATCAAATTAAGGGTTATTTATTGACAACTTTTCAAAGGAGTTAAAAAATAATTACGCCATTTATACTGCCAATATACATTGCTTGTGCACAGTTTATTTACATGGAAAAGAACACATTGACGCACTTGAGATTCACTTCGAGGAATTGTCATAGGAGTACTGTAATTAGCAGTTATGCATATTACCCTTTTCACCACACATGCATTTAAAAAATTTCAAAATGCTAACTATCGGTACCTATCCCCTCACCAGCAAAGAGGAAATAGGCTGGTGGGAACTGGGAAAAGGTCCAACTGGGCTCATTGGGTACATGCAAAGACTGTACATTTGAATGGGTAGGTTTATACATACATAGCATGTCCCACGCCAAGCGCTCATGCACCTGTGCACCCATGCTGTGGTTTTCCACCATGAGGGACATCAGTGCTATAATTATGCAGGTAAGCACAGGCCATTTCTTGTTCCTGCTTCCAGCAGGTAGACTTAAATATCTGGAGCAGGTCTTTTTGTGATCTGCATGGCGTTTGATCCCAGCCTTCATTTGTATGTTAATGTTGAACATCCTGCCAAATGTGACCTCCTGCAAGCAAGCGACTTTCAAGATTTTACAGAATTGAAATTTCTGTTAAAAAAAATTGTTGTTGGATAATTGTAATTGATGTGTTTCACTAAGGGTGCAAAGCATCATGACGTTTGAGATGTTGGAAGTGACAATTTCCTGAAAATAAAGTACTCGGTAAAGGGGCTTAAAATAAAAGCGAAAGATGTTGCAACAAATGAGACCAGAAACTGCTTAAAAACATGAGTTGATCAAAACTTCCCAATCTCATCCCTCCCGGTTACAGCTCTAGTCATGCAGCTTGCATGTTATGTGCATCACAGCACACGTTAGGTTACAAGCTCTATAGTTGCCAACTTTCAGTAATTGGAATCCAACTTGGTAAATGCCATTGCCACAGGTTTGCTTAACAGAAAACTCGTCCTGGCCACAACAGGCAGACGCGCACCACAGAGTGACAGTTAATAGATATCAATGCGAGGTTTTCTTTTCACTGACAGAGAAGCGACGTGCAAAGCCCGACATTTTTCTAATGCTGAATTACATCAGTGCTGACATTCAGTTGATAGTAAGTCATACTGTTTTGGACATTTCTTGCTAAGCAGATTCAGTCAATTAGGACCGTGGGGATATTCATGATCAGCATTGTGTAACCACAGAAATGATATCTAGCTTACAGTGTGTGACATAAGGTTGCTGACCAAGAGCTTGCCAACTCACTGCACTGATGGTACTTGTTTGATTGGACGTCTTTTGATGAGACCCTATATAGCATTTAATGCCTCATTAACAATCTCAAAGTGCTGCCGGTTAAAGGTGCACATCGGCATCTACCCTCACAGGTACCCATGCAACTTGATGGGAAGAGGCAAGTCGGCCACAGGTCAAGGTCCCAGCATGTAAGCTGGGGCTGGATTCAACCCTCTGATCGAGTCACAAACCCTAACCACTTGGCCACGCTTCCACAAAAGGCAACAAAATCCTGGCTTGACATGAGTAATCAAGTATTTGGCACTTCCAGTCTCATAGTACTGCACAGAGCTCCAAGTAGACATTGATTCATCACGTCGCTCCTTGACTCTAATCCTTCTTGGCCCCAAGCCGCATGGCTCCCAGGCCTGGTTTCTTGGCCGCCCTCTTCTCTTTCATTTCCCTCTCGCGTTGCACCCTCCTATCCTCTCGTTTCCTCCTGGCTTCCTCTGTTTTGCTTTTGCCTGGAAGAAAAAAAAACCCACCCAGGCCAAATACAGCATTACTTTAGAAAGCATTTTTTAAAGGGCCCTCTAAATTGCACTCGAGCCCCAGTTTATGCAAAACATGAAAGCGATTGGGAACGGAACTTAGTGACCTGACGACAGCCGCACTGCAAATAGATGAGCCTACTCCAATATCACTGAATGTGTCATGATGTCAAATTCACTTTACATTTGAGTCATTCTATAAAGTTGGAGCCCAAAGTGTGACATTTTTCTGTCTGACACCTGACCTTTGTCATTTGACAAGAACGATATCCCTGAAATTAACTGAGAACAAGTTTTATTTGTTTGGCAGGAAATATGTATGTATTCATCAATCTTGGAAATTGAAGAATGTATTCAAAACTTACACAACCATATGCCAGATGTCATAGGGTTGGGAGAAGTTGGAACCAAAAGTTATAGATTGATCTCTTGGCATGTGGTAAGAATGGACTTGGAGATGGATTCTCCCAGAACAAGCTCATCAAACTGGCTTTCCTGGAATTCTTCATATGGTCTACACATCAATTCACGTGACAAGGATGGATGCATTTTGTCACTGTTGTTACAAAAGTGGCGCACTGGATGCTGCTATTGCAATGAGGGGCTTGTAACTTAGCGAAAAAGGTTAATATTTAAAGGTAGTGTAAACCATTGGTAAAATTCCACCAATCAGACTACAGTATAATCCTGAAATATCCTACTTGAAAGAAAGTACATAACAGCCTCAACCAGTCTGTCAAATACTTCCACCCAGAATGCTATAGTTTTCGAGAAAACAAAAATTTTTTTTCTCTCTCTTGTTTTTTCACGATGGTCAGCTGACTATCGTATAAAGAGTTCATTTCACTTTGCACAGCACATTCTATTAATGTTGTTGGAGTCTCCATTAATGAACGAGTAAACCAAAAAGCTAAAATATACCGACAGAAATTCGCCAAAGCATTTTAAACTGAAATTACAGGAATCTGAGTGTAAGGTAGATCAATTGGATTAGTGTGAAGTTAAATCTTACTTAAGGAAAGGATTTTCTTAACACAAAAACTTTGCAAATTCAAAATCACCCCTGGAGCATAATGGTAATCTAAATATGGTGGCTGTTCTTGAGCAAGATGGTGTTAAACCTCCCATGTTTCAAGACATCATTTCTCCTTTGCTAATAATTATTAGGGAATCAACTAAGAATGGAGTTTTTAGACTTACTTTCACTGACATGCAAACTGATGTGAAAGTGTGGTCATTAAGCACGATCACATGTGCTCATGCATTATCATACAGGCCTACTTGTTTCGGTGTAAAAATTGACTGCATTCCTGGATGACGTTTTTTCATGAATCTGCAATGCTACATTGTTGTGGGGGTGCATTACTCCAAGGTAAATTCACGGATAATTCCTAGCCATTGGAAACTTCTCCTTTTTAACCCTCCTTTGGTTTTACAGCACAAGTATGCACAAGTGCCCAAGGTCACTCTCTTGCATGTTGGTGCAGTGCACAACATGACACAGCTGTGCTTCTTTGAGGTGTTTACCAAGTGACCCAAAGAGTGACTTCAGCATAGGAGGGTTAAGGGAATGAGAACCTGTCATGCCTATTTCCCACCCTGACCCCGTGGATGTTGATCGCTTACTACAACGCCCTGTAATTCATAGATTTTACACAAGATAAATTATAAGACCTTCGATTTAAGCATTGAAAATGCAGTTTTTCTCAACTTTCTATAAAGCAGTTGACTCAAACATAAAACAAGTCAGTCGAAAGTAACTTGCAGTGAATATTATACACCCTAGTCAGCCAATCAGCCAGTGTTCACTACCATTAACCACCCAAGAAAATTAGAAAAAACAGACCCACGTCTGATAACCTTGTGTACCTGGAACAGGGATGTATCAACTGACCTGAATCATCTCCAAATGACCCCCAGTCGTCTGCAGTTGCACCCCAGCCAGCACCCTCTCCCCAGCCAGAGGTAGTGGTAGTTGATGACCCCTGACCCTTCCTGGTGGCTGTCGCTGGCTTCTTTGAATGTGGCGCTGCTTTGCCGGACTTTGTTTTCTGAGTTGAAGGGTTTAAGGTAAGACGCAGATGCGTAAGTCATTGACGTAACTTGAGAGTGGAGATGGGACGACGTATCCCGTTCAGTTGCTTGACCAGGGCCAACGTACACCACCACAGTGCACAAAAATGCCATTTGTGGCATGTCAAGACTCTTGTATACTCTCTGGTGTGACTTTCAAATTGTGCATGGCCACAATCATGATTTAACCTGGTCAGTCCCCCTATGATGAACAACCACTTGAAAATTATGTCAAATCACTCCACAGTTACTCGTACACACACTTCAGATGTCGTGATAAATGCACATTGAGAATAGAGTGCTCACATATAATCAATAGTCCTAAAAATAAGGTGTAAATACCAATTGATTTAAAGGTCTCCTTTCCAGAGTTCCTCATCACAATAACATAATTCATGATGAAAATTGCACATATCATGGTGACAACCTAACAAAATGAATCAGAGTCAAAGGAGATTAAGAGAATCCTGCACAATGTAAATCTATGGTAACACTCAACGTCTTTCACCCACATAATGCCTATTTTCATCCTTGGGATGCCAAACTGCGTGATACATTAGAGTTCAGTTTGGGTCTTTCTGCTACAAACAGCCAATTATAAACAATTCCCAAGACTCATTTTGTGGGATCCAGTCACATTTTAATGTATTGAATCGCAGTGACACATACACTAAAAATAACAGAAGTCAGGGCACCGCTGACAGCCCATTGAATGCAAGACAGATAGACGGTTACCCTACACAGCCCCCTCCCCCCTATCATGGCATGCACAGTATTTTCAGAATCTTGGGCAATCTTGTAAGATGTGTGCGGAGATGTGGTTGGTAACTATCTCTTGTTGTTGGTGCATGATGGATATTCTGTCTCCAAAACGTGGTGGTACATGTACATTTATTTATTGTTTTATTTATTTATTTCCAATACATGTATTCACATGTATATTCCACCAAATCAGCTGGGTTGCAGCAGAGAAACTAAATTTATTTTCTTTGAAAAGCTAAATCATTTATACATCATCAAATTATCTCTGTGTAGTGTGTCGATACCCCAGCGACAAATTGATAAGTTCTCGTCCTTGCTAGCTTTAAGTACTCGAAATGTTTTGACACTTTCTGACTTTGTGACCCTGCATTTGACCTAATCTGTGTAAAAAGTAAAATACTGCTCAACGCTTGTTGGCTAACTGGAAGAACTAAGTAAGCAGTAAGGGTCTTCACCATCTACACTGAACTTCTGGACTTCATATTTTATACACTGAATGCCTAAATCAAGATCATTAAAACCAATGAAACTCCTTTATCTCCTACACACAGACATACCTGTTTAACTTACGAAGCTAAATTTAAGAATTTCTGTTCTGTCTCACAGCAATTTATCACGCAACTCGAGATGAGGCCGCAGATAAAGACAAAGCAGAGATATGAAAAACACGTGACTCAGATCTAAAATGATGAGAAGAAGAGAAATCATTTGACAGGGTACCTCTTTTAAGGCACTGCTGAAGAAGTCATCCCCAGCGTCTGCGTCATCTCCCCAGTTGTAGCTGCTGGCTGGGGCGTGGCTGGTGTCCTTGGCAAAGTCAACGCTTTCTCCCCACCCCGGGGGAGCAGGTGTGGTCTTAGCCGCTTGGGGTTTGTCAGTCTGTATGCAAGAAAGAAAAAAAAAGGGAAAATCATCTCACATGGGGGTTACTGCGGGCACAAGATTAACTTTGAATTGGATGCAACAGATGAGCAAGAGTCAAGATCTTCTTGTCTTTTTCAAAACGTTTGTACAAAAATAGCCTCATATATGTCACAGGGCTCCACCCATCAAAAAGGAATATATTGCAAAAATGGATTACTGAGGTCCCTTGGTACAGTGATGGTGTGGTATGAAATTAAGATTATGATTCAATGAATAATGCGCAAAACAATTCAAATTGACACACAGAACGCTGAGAGGCCATACGTGTATGTGAAAAAGGGACAGGATTTCAGAATGTGTGTTTCACATGACACCATTATCATGATGGTATTCCAGAGGCTGTAGGCTTGGTTTGTTTACTGAACTGATACACGAATAGAAAGAGAAGGACAGACTGCTTAGTGTGGGCAAGACTGAGAAAGCTTCGCACCCAGAGTTGCTTTGATGATTGAAGCTTATGCAATGTTCTTGTCTGTATTTGGGAGATCAAATCAAACTCTGTTCCTCATTTAATACTATCAATGGTCTTTCATAACCACACTATTTAAAGACTGAAAATATCCCTTTGCTCTTGTCTGGCCACAGCCAAACAACTGACAGTAGGTGTCATTCCCAATGAAAAAGTACACCATGAACTCTCGCTTGCTAAAGGCTAAACAGAGAACACTGGTGCGACTTTACATACTTTTTCCTACAAGGCAACTTTCACAATGAGCTGAACAGGGCTGTACTACATGTAAATGGTGATGTTCAAACTGAATATTCATCATATGCTAATTTATTTTTCTGATCTGTTTAGATTATTTACATGAACCCAGACCAACTGTACTGTAAGCATGCTTCCTTTTCCCAACATTGCCTTCTTCCTTACTATAAATCAATCAGAGTTGAGGACAAAAAATGCTGGATAATTTTGCATGTGCTAATTTACATATATTTGCATAATTTATGCACATACAGTTCCAATGCAAATCTGAACAAAGCCTCAGGCAGAACCTTCCCCAAAGGAATATTTTACAAAGGAGAATTTTATTCGTCACACACTGAGCACATCTTCCACCAAAAATGTAGTTCGAACAAAAAAATGCTAAAAATTGGTACTCTACCGTGACAGTGGATACATCCATTTTGAGGTATTTAAATAGGAAAATCACACCATTACTTTCATAAGAGGTTCCAGGAAGACCTGTATTCCAAGCAACACACAGAGAAGGTTTCTTTCTCTGCTAGCAGCTTGGGGGAAAGTCCCCGGACACTGAGCAGAAAGTGCTAGGTCCTAAATGACCTCCACTCTTCCTGTGCACAGAACCATTAGCCAAGAGGCCCCCGGGCTGAGCTAAGCTTGCAAGGGAAGGGTGATAGTCGCAGCACAGACTCATACAGGTGGCAGACCGATACCTGATTGGTCCGCTAACTTAATGGGGCTCACTCTCTTGGTACCTCCAATTCTTTTACCTCCACCAAATGCGTGCAACCATTGGGGAAACTATCAACCCTTAAGAGGTCAGTTCCTACTGTCACAGTCACATGTTGAACTGTTACAAATTCACATATCTTTTCTTTGATGTTTCAATTGGTGTTCCTTTTGCTGAACCAGCACCCTCCTCTATTCTTCTCATTTGTCACATGGACAAATGTAGTTTACCAAAGCCCTGTAAGTACTGTAGAGAAACGCATTGTGAGGTGGATCTGTTTTTTCATCAGCAACACAATGGATTTGAGCCACAGACTACCATCGAGAAAGTGACCTCTGGGTGCAAGGATACGCACTAGTGACCTCACTGCCAGTCCGTATGTGTATACAATGAAAATCCAATAAAAAGTGAGGGATAAAAGGAACAAAGGATTGAAAACAAACCTGTGATCTTGATCCTGGACCTGTAGAAGGTTCTTCTAGTGAACCCCAATCTTCCTCATCTCCCAAACCACCCACAGTCCCACCTAGTTCCTCCATGGCTTCTGTCTTTGCCCCACCCACATCTATCGTCCCCCAGTCCTCGTCTTCCCACCCGCTCGGGGTGGCAACCTCAGTCCTCGCATTGGATCTCTCCTTCTTGGGAGAGCTCCTGGCACTGGGCCTAGCTTTCCTGGTGTCGGCGGAGGTCCTGCCGGGCTTGGAAGCAACCGTGGAGCTGTCGGACAACCCCCACGCATCGTCCAACGTGCCCCAGTCATCAAATGTGGAGCAGGTCTGTTTCTTAGCGGCCAGCTTCATGCTGCCACCTGCTCTGGATTGGCTTGGCTTGACCTGGCCTTGCCCCTTCCTGGCCGGTGGCGGCGGTCGTTCATCAAAGTCACCATCATCGCCCCAGCTTCCTGTGTCCCAGCCAAGGTCCTGGGGGTCTTGTCGTGTAGAGGATGGATCCTGGTAAGAATCTTGAGAGGCAGCCGTCTTGGAGGAGGATGTAGAAAAACTCTGAAAGTGACACAAATGGATATTTGAGATTGCAAAAAGTTTTAGTACAATTTTATATTCAAAAACAATCTGTGCTTAACTATGTAGTAGCACAGACCTTTACCACAATGCTGCCATGTTTGTCTTGTTCCCTGTAGCCCCTTTGGCAATAGTAATACAGCGTCACATGTTGATAAAAAGGAACAAACTTCTTTTCCTTCTGGCCTCAATCTGATTACATTGCTTTAACTGGTAGAAAATCAAGATGGCTGCCCCATGATAGAGGTCTGTAGCTATGTGTGATGAATCAGGCGAATTACAAAGGTAGCTGAAAATCTCAGGCTACAGGCTGGCTCACACTTGATGTCAACAATTTACTAACTATTCTGACTGTTTCAGCTGGGTTTTTGTTGCTTGTTTTTGGTTAAGTATCACAGAAAAACTTAAGTCTCATACGGTGAGTGTTAAAATCATTAGCAATTAAATGCTGAAGTTTGATAAATGCAAATGGCATGGACAAACCATTGCCCCACAAATCTAAGTAAATGCGAAGCCAATCTGAGCAATGCAACCCGAGCCTTCTTTATACCCGAGTCTTCTCTATACCTATGGCTAATTTCAGAAGCGCTTAGTAGCTGGTACTGAACAGTCATAATTGAAAGGATAAAATCAACTCACATCGATGTCCCCCCACTCTTCATTATCATCCCATCCGTCACCACCTCTGTCAACCCCTGTGTCCTCGTAGTCTGAGGCAGAGTCTCGCGCTGTTTCTTCTGTGTCCTGCCTTGTGTCATCAGGTTTGGCACCATCAGCCATTTTTGCAGCAGTTGTTATTGAGGGCTTCTGTGCTGAAGCTAATGACAGGGGAAATTAGAATGCCTTGTTTTTACATGGAGGTGATTAGACAGGCATCACAAACATAAATTTCTTCATATTTTGGTTGAGAGGAGAATGAATCTATACGGTGTCTCCAAGAATGTGCCTGATCTTGAACATGTCCATTGGACCCTACAAACTTTCCGCCATACCGTGATTCAATAAATTTGTTAAGGGAATCAGTATGTACTTGACCGGTCTTAAATCGTGGCATCCAGTCACCTTCCTGAAGACGAACATAGCACACTGTTCGGAACATCGAGTGTTTCACCATCGGTTCTTCTCAGAACCACACACTCATAAAAGAGATATTTTCTTCTACATGGTGCAACTGCAAGTCTACCCAACTTTAACAGTACTTCCACCATGCATAGCTTCAAGTCTTATCTAGCACACGAACACAAACAGAACAGGCTGTATTATCTAAGCTTCACTCCAACCCGTTTTCTGTGGCAGCTACAACACACTCAAAGATCCAGTTCACTGTTCAGTAAAGCAACCAGCATTTCCTTTGTATATTTAGACAAACTCTAGGAGTGAAACGTCTTCTGAAGGTACTGTGGTAGGTCTCAGTAGTCCTGAATTCATCAAGACACAGCAAGAAAGCGTGTTTGATGGAGGAAACTCCAAGGCAGTCAGGATTATTACGTGAATATAGACTGAAGACCTTCTAACGCCTCACCTGTGCCTGCTGGAGTAGCTGAACCCCCTGCCTTAGCTGGTGGCTGACTAGCAGTAGATCCTGGCCGATAGAACCGCGAGGTCAGTGATGTGACCGCCCAGCCAGTCCAGCTACTGCTTGACCCGAGAGGCGTACTGGCAGCTGCGTTCACTTCCGCCTCTGTCAAAACATCAAATGTACCTCATGCTAGCTCTACTTTGGATGAACACCCACCCTAAAGAGGTCCCTTTTACAAACCACAAAATGTCCACCAAAAAAAACCTAGTTTTTCAAATGCAAAAACCTATGCAACATTTCAACAGTTGTTTTATTAAAATTCTATGAATATTAATAATGCATTTGAATTCTGCAGTACAGAATACATGCACCCCAAGCATTTTGAACACAGGATAATTATAAGAATTGACTGCACTGTACAAAAATGAACCCAGTGTATTATCTGCCCTAGGAACACGAAGATACCTCAGAAACCAATTTAAAAGTTTTTACAAGCCACATAAAAGACACAGAAACCGACTAAAAAACAAAATTACCTATTTCAGCAGCTTTCTCAGGATTATCGGACACAGTCTGGAGCCTCTGCAGGAAAATACCGATGGCCTTGAAGGTCTGGTCCCGGACCCCCTTATCCGGGTCAACGGTCAACGTGCACAGGACAGGTAGCACCTTGAAGGCTGTGTCACGGATGGAGTAGTAGTTCTGCGTGGCAAGCATGGACATGATGCCCGCTGTGCGGGCAGGGGGGAAGGGATCCTTCATGGCACGAACAAAGGCCGAGGAGAGGACTTTCTGCCTAGTCTGTTTGACAGAAAGAAATATGACAATAGTGACAATAACCATAAATGAACCACTGGGGAGGTATTCCTATAGACCTGCAGTAAAAGAAAGCAAAACAACGTCACATATAAATTCCACCCTTTGGGTAATACTGAAAGTGTTTTTCAGCAATTCCTGAGCACAAAGGTTATGAGATGAAACATATGCTGATGGTTTTTGTGGATATGAAGCGCCCAACCAAACTGTGATCAGACACCGACTCTTGCTGGCCGTCTGTTGCCAAAGACCATCCATGATTCTCACCGTTGGGTTCAGGTAGCAGGCAATCTTGCCCAGACAGATGGTGGTGTTGGTTCGAATCCCGCCTTGTTCGTCCTTGGCCTGCATCTTGGCAAAGTGCTTCATCAGCTCCCCGTTCAGGTTCTTGTCGTTCAGCTTGGAAGCCAGCAACAGCATAGCCTGTTGTATGGAAAAGGATCGCTTGCAATTACGACACCAAATTTCGGTTGTGAACTGATAATGCACAAATTTACATGCGTCCTAAAAGTGCTTTTGAAGAAGATCCTATCTGCCACGATCAGCAGAATAGCACAATTAAGTCACGATTCTGCATTGTATCTTAGGTCAGACTTGCTCCACGATACTGAGTCAGTTGAGGTAACTTCAATTTGGTTACTGTCAATGCAATTGGAAGTTTTAGTGTCAAGTGACGTTCACGGCTGGTGTTTTTTCATCACGAATGAGAGATTCTGTGTTCATTCGCTGATTCATTTTATTTTCCTGTCGTGGGTTCACACCCAGTACACCCACTTTTCCAAACAGACAAAAAATCCTTTCACTCAAAAACTACACTGGAATCTGGCTAGCAAAGATTAAATCTAGAATACAAGAGTAAAGATAAGTCGTGAGGACAGAAGCAAAAATGGTTGCGTCTATGTCCGGGGTTCCAATATTTTAATCTGTAACCAAAGTTTCAGCTGAATGCACATTTTTGCAGCCACTAATGTTTTCAGGCAAAGTTGATCAGGATTACAGCCAAGATTATAAACATTTGGCATTTGGACGAGATGGGGACTGACAGCTGGAACCCTGGTATCTTGGCAGTGCAGGATAAGTTTGTTTTGCATTGGTATAAATCTATGCATTTCTTTACCTTGACTGTGTGTTCTCTTATCACCGGGTTGGTGTCACTGAAACCATGACAGATGTGTGGGAATATCTGGTCATTGACCACGGCTGGTTGAAGATGCTCCACAAAGTACTCCATCTGTGGGATTCAGAGAAAATAAAAGGGACGCAGTTATCCAAACTGGTTTTCTCTCAACTGGAAAATCACCAGTCCATGAGACAAAAGATTCCCTAAAATAGCTGTTACAGGGAGGGTGTCATGCTCTAAACTCCACTCACGTGTAATGTTTACTTTCCCAATTCAAGTTCTACACATTTGGCTGAAAGGGTTGAAGCACCCCATATTGGAACAAATAGAAGTAGCCGTAACAAACAACCAATTCCCTTAAGTGACGTAGGCCCTGGCAACTGGGGTGGAGGGGGGGGATTGAATTTGAATTTAAACAGAATTTCGACTCCAATATAAAACGAGCATTGATTCAACAATGCTAGATTGGCTCAAGCATGCCCTCGACGTACTCTGCCAAAAAACTGGAGTAACACTTACAAAGACAATTATTGGCATCATTAGCTGTCCTACTCTGCAAACTACGTCATCAGATCCAAAAAAGGGGGCGGATTACCATATAAGGTTTATGAACGTGTAGTCCACACAAAAAGTGGATTAAATCAGATGCGTGATGGCACATAAAGCTAAAGTCTCTATCAAGGCCTGGTTTCATGTGGCCTGGTTTATGAATTATCTGTCATTCTGCAGTTTCCCTGTTTTGAAATCCATCTATTTGACGTTGGCTACTCTATATCACCAATGCGGCCTGGGGAAATGCAATATTCAGTGACTAGTTTTTTTGGCGTCCTTAGTCTTGATGTTGAATTTGTGGCCATCCACTTTGTCCAATGTTGACTACTGAGGGCCATTTTTGGCAAGTGTAAAACTGCAGGTAATATTCTTGGGTCTACTGAAATGGGCACTCAAATTTATGCATGGGCAAAACTAACTTCCTGACCTGTTGAATGGAATTCTGCCATTGCTGACTGGGAGTCTGATGAATATAGCTGCCCAACACTTCAAACTGTCAAATATGTAATATAAAAAAAAATTGAACCTGTTGCAGTAGCTTGACCCTGGTTGCTCTGTCCGTGGATGAAAACATTTTGACCACGCAAGGGACGATCTTCTTCTGGTACTCGTCAGCTTCAAGTAGTTTACCCAGCTAAACACAAATGCATGGAAAAAGTATTTTCAAGATCGATTAAGAAATTACCATTGAATTACACAAACTTCATATAACCTGAGAGGTCCTCTTTTCACCGCAACATCCAGGCAGGTTGAATGCCTGTCGGTGATACATTGTGACGGAGTTGAGTGGCTCTCCGGGTTATTCCGGTATGTTTTCTTGTTTGTTTTTCTGTGGTCAATCTTTCTACATGTACTTCTGAACATGGCCGAGGAGACTTTGGGTCATCCCACCTTGAGGAGAGGGGTCAGCACTGCGGAGCCGGCACCGCCAAACTGGAAGGCTTCTAGGAGGAGCGGGAGAATGCGGTATCGACAGAACTCCTGGGGAAAGTCGTCGATGGTAGAGCTCAGACTGGCCAAGAATTTGTTCTTCTCTGTTTGCTCCTTGATCTGCAAGGAGGAGCAATTCATGAAGCAATGCAGAGAAATTGCCCAACAACAAAATACCGATGATATGAATTCCTGCCCAAGTTTGAACTAATCAGTGGTCGATTTAGTCTGATACATGTGCATGCATGCATCAGTACATATACGTTCTCCTCTGTACATGTAAACCCTTTGGCACAGCATGCATGCCGGGCATATATGTTTTTTTTAAGGCCAGTAATGTACCTGATATATACTTTCTCACATTGAACTTGTCACAACACACTCCTGATTTCATTGATTTACATGGTTCCATATGCACACAACGATCAACATCAGCCCAGCCAGTTACAGAGTGTGCAGTACATTTTATGTACATGTTTTTAATGATACGGCATTTTCTAAACACTTTTCTTTGTCCACATTCCGGCTTCAAGCAATTTGCAATCCGAATCACACAGCACAGATTGTAAAACAAGACATCTGGAAAGAGGCCAAGGGGTGTCGCAATTTACCAACTGGAAATTGTTGATTGATTGTTGTTTGTGCGAACAGCTATGCTAGCTGACATTGTCTGGCTTACCAATCACAGAGAGTCAAAGTACATTTTTAAAGTTGGTCTGAGATGGCAACTTGTCCGGAATGCATATTTGCACAGGAGGGTTAATGAACACCCTTTCCTGCAACCACTTCCAACCCATTCTATACACTGTGCACCTGGACTTCAAACACGACCAATTGCTTGGCCTAGGCATGACAGCCACTGCCCGAGTTACACCACTTGCGTATGCTGGTTTCGATGGTTTGTAAACAGCTCGTAGATTCCACATGGAATCTCAAACTCGGCAGGATAGATGTCAATATTCCTGTTACTGGTGCACACCCATGTACTATTTGAAGCCTTACTGTCATGATCGCATTCACATGCATTTCCCTCACGTACAGACACTGAATGTCCATGTCTACACAAAACGTGTCTGTGAACCTGCATGCATGGGCAATGAGTCCTTCACTGGCTACCATGGTGAGGCTGCGTAGAGCTATTTACTGTTCTTCCATGCAGACCACACCACAGAGCAGCCCAGAATAATCCCACTTCTGCCACCGTCTCACCGTTCTACCTACTCATCTCCACCTCTCTATCTCACCTGAATTTCTTCCAGGAAGAGGTTGGTTTCTACAAAGCTGTTGTGGAGGAAGCCACCACTGGCGCGGCAGCCCTCTATGAACTTTGCCGGGTTGGGCCTAGAGAAGGGATTGGCTCCCACCAGCTCACAGTAGTTGGCCACCAGGGATTTGGGAATCTGGTTTCAAGTTTCAAAAGACCTAAAACTGCTTTCATGTAAATAATAGCTTAGGTGGCTCTCTGTAGCTTAAGAGATTAAAAAATCTGGAGATGTAGAAAGCTCATTCACAGCTTGAAGAAGCAGAGAGTATACCAGCTCAATTGGACACTTCGTCATCGATACCTTCAAAGGAAATCAACTGCATGAACTTCATCGGATCTTCTTCAAATAAAATCACCCAAATACAGCTGCCGAAGCATGGTCCATCGGCAATGTCTTTCCAGTGTTCTATCCTAAACAACTTTAAACTTGGCTCGTGGATGCAAGCCCTTCTTCAACAGGACCTAAGTTTGATGAAACTATGGGATGTGGCACACTTTTGATCTTTCGTTATTCACGAACCATCCAACTCAGAAAATACAAGCCTCTGCAATGATATAGACTTTCTTAGGTCAGTTTGTCAAATCCAAGTTTGTTCTACTCATGGTCTAAAAGTTTATAGGTACATACAGAAAAATAAACTTCCACCTGAGACAATTTTTGTCTAACACAATGAACATTTTTGGTTTTTGTTTTATGGAGAGGAAAGCATGACTGTGTGCATGATTTGTGCTTTCTGATGTTACCTTTCCCAGAGCTTTGAGAGAGGATGTCCTTGGCAGAGGCCCATTGAAGATTTCCCAAATTAGGCAACCCAAACCCCACATATCAGCTGACCTGCAAACATAAAAATGGCCGAATACCTTGTAAAATATAACAACTTTATCCACACGTTCCTTGATTCATAGCTTTAACAGCCATGCTATGGGCAAAGTTGTGCCTTGTTCCTGCCAATGAATTTGACTGGGACAAACAACAGGCCTGTCGTTAGTGAAAGTTGGTTAGGTGACTAGAATGTTCAGTTCACCAAAGACACAAGGAATTTTATATGTTGTGAATATATTCAAGATGCAATAAATAATAAGTCCTTTCTATGTGACCAGGCTGTACCACTTTAAGGGGACAATTTCTTTTGTCAGGAAAGTCGAGACCAAATTGTGGGGACAAAAAATTGTTCCCATGACAATTTTGGTCCCCACACCATCTGTTGTTCAACACGAGTGCGGTTCCTATAACTACAGTGCCAATGTGAATGCACATGTCCCTGTTTACTTTACCACAGAGGACGGAAACACAAGGGAAACACAAACAGAATTTCTCCCGTCCTCGATGGTCTGTACTTTGTTCAGTTCTTTCCTCTGTGAGTACCTCTGCTCAGTCTAAGGAGCAGTGTTATAGGGACAACCGGAACCACCTTGCCTTTGACTGATGACCCTGTGTACAGGCGCGGCATACACAGTGTGGACCTCTGCACAAAAGTCCACATAATGTAGGGTGCGATGACGTAGTGTGGACTCGCACACGTCCACACAATGTTTTCTCCTCTCTGAAAAACAGTTTCAGAGACATTTTGGGATCAAGGTTATTTGTAGCAAAATAAAGAGGAACAGCCCAGGGAATCATTTTCAAAAATCCAGCTCGAAGGAGTTATCCTAGTTGGAGAAAAAGGAGCATTTTCCTCAAGTTTCCTTAACCACAGGAGAACAAAGGAATGTCCACACTTTGTATGTAAAACAGGTATGTATGCACTTCCTTACCACGTGTGTGTCTTCTTCCGCGTCCGTGTGTCCAACATCTCGGGCGGATTGTACTTCTCCAATGCCTGCATCCCCTTGTTGGGTGGCTCACTCCCCTCCCCCTCGGCAGGGCCGACATAGGCCACGCCCCCTACCTTCCACTCACCGGCTCTGCTGACAAACACGGAGCTCATGTTGACGTTGTTGTGCTTGAGTTTGCAGTCATTGTGGAGAAAGCTCAGCCCTTTCTTTAGAGGAAAAATGTAAGAGAGGTCAAACCCAAACTTAGGCAACCCTCAATCTGCTGTACCTATGTTTTTTTTGGGGGGGGAGGGGAATATATGTTTACCATTGTTGAAAACAATGCGGTATCCACGACGTCAGCCAAACCAAGTGTTGTCCGGCTGACCGGTTTTTTGAGCCCCTTCACAGTGTGCAACGCCATCTCCCCAGACAACTTGTGGCATAACACTTCTCCGAGTCACCACACGTGTGCCAACAAGCACGTGGATGTCCTCACCGTGACAACTTCCGACACTCAGAGCTTGGAGAAGGAACAGCCAATCATCCACAGACTTGGGACGCTTACACCTGGCTGTACATTCATATTGTCAGTCCCACACTGAGCTCCGACAAAGGCCCAGCCAGACCAAACAATTTAACATGTACATGTAAGCATCTACCTTCTAGTGCATATGTCACATCTCCTCCATTCTCATCATAAGTCTGGTTTTTAATAATATAACTAATTTTTGTTTGAAATCCCAATAAACCTCTCACTACTGGAACAAAGAGAAACAGGTGGAAGCATGTCCATGTATGTGGACCTACCACGACTTGATGAAGACCCCAAGAGATAGCCAGCTCATTGGGGGAAGAGTTGTTTAAGTACGTCTGCAGGGGAGTGACCTGTTCAGTCACAGCATAGATGATGGTGTCCGTCTGGAAATTAATGTAAATCATTATTAAAAAAACAGTAAACTTGAATATGGTCCCACAACCCAAACATTTCCCACCAGAAAAGAAAAAAAATGACATGGACAAAAACTGGAAAAAGAGTGTTCCCTTTATGTTCAATTGTCACAGGGTTCCATCTGTCAGTTGCCATTGTCACCAACTGGCAAATATCTACAAACTTTGCCTACAATCCTGAACTAGAAAGTAAAAACTGCTGTATTCAACATTGCATAAAACGGTAAGTACCTCCCAAACTGTAGGTTTAGATAAAACTTCAGAATTTTCCAGCTAGATCTCTATAATTAGACCTATATGGGTAACAAATTGGAGTTTGCTCCTGTGAAAACATATAGTTTGCACAACTTATTCAAACGAAGTTCACACCCCCCCTCCAATTAATAAACTAGGAAATGAACTCTGATGACAGCCTTTGTGCAAGCTTTCTCACCTCCAAGCCATCCAAGTACTGCAGGAAGTTGGGATGCCTGATGGTCTTCATCCTCTTGTGTGCCGTCTTCCCCCTCTCGACGGCTGCACTCGAGCTGCTCTTAGCATCCAGGGCAAATATGGACACCGGATGTCCGTCCGCCTTTGGAAAAAAAAAAGTTCATGTATGTATGCCCTGTGGATCTCCATTGGTTGAATTGCGCTGTGCAGGTAGTGGGTCACTGGCATCGAAATGCAATTTGACCAACTGAAATGCAGCTTTTTGAGGGCTAAAGGACAATAAAAAGAAGGGGAAATATGCAGGAGTCGTGCTGCAATTGGACAGGCCTGTCTTACTGCGGACAACAATGACCTTTCAACTGACATGACTGAGAGTGAGCACTTGCTGCGAGCCTTGCTTGATCGTGGTGATGCGGGTAAGTAAAAATCACGTACATCGAAAACTTTCTCATTTTAATTAGCTACATCATGTATAAGGTAAATGAACTCCATTCTCCCAGCCGACACTACACCGTATCCTGAAAGGACTTGTGAAATCTTAGGGTATGTGATAGCAGTGAAATTCGGTCATAGCAGTACCATCAAAATAGCAAAACTTCAGTTATGTACTGTATTATAACAATGCTATCTGTATAGTTTGTAAAAACCAATGGTATGGTACCTTTGATATGACACAAAGTTCATAAAGAACAACTTTTACAACTTATATGGGGGATGTGGCAAAATTTCAAATGATTAATGTCATACTCATAGTCACAGGGCCTACATAGTACATGGCCTAGTAGCCCCACAAATAGGGCTGTCGTGGCTCGCTTTCACAATCTGTCTCTTACAAGTATCTGTCGCCACCACAGCCCTACTTCAAAGCACGTCTTAAATGCCTGAAATCCAAACTGCAGGATTGTCACAAACTTTGAATCCTAATATCTTCCGAAATGAGAATGAATTGACAATTTTACTTACACTGGTGTATTCCTCAGAGTTTGGACTTTTATATGAGCACCCTAAAGCTTTCCAAAACTGTATATTTTTCAATGTAAAGTGCCTTGAAAAAACCGGCCTGTAGTATTACATGCTGACCACGGGCGATGCCATTTTGAAAAACGAAAACATCCCTTCTTGCATCGGATTTCAAGGCACCCGAAAGGCACTCTGGTATATGTTGTACCATACAAAACTGGTTCCCCATCATACCTTGCGTGACAGACGAACAAGGAACTGGTGAAATTAAATTTGAATAACATTAATATGCATGTATCTGTATCATGCTCCACACACATGCTGTGGGTGTACTGTACACTAGCAAAGTGCGCGCGCAACTTATTACAAAGCAATACTGTGACAACATGAATTATGCATCTACGGCACCTGTTGGGTACCCTGACTTCCGAAGAGCGAAGCGCTGCCTTCGTTTTTAAAAATGGCACCGCCCATGGTCAGCATGTAGGCCTAATACTACAGGCCAGGTTTTTCAAGGCACCATACATCGGAAAATTTACGATTTGGGAAAGCTCTAGGGTACTCATATTAAAGTCCAAACTCTAAGGAATATGCCAGTGTAAGCGATTCATTCTCATTTCAGAAGATATTAGGATTCAAAGTTTGTGACAATCCTGACGTTTGGATTTCAGGCATTTAAGACATGCTTTGAAGTAGGGCTGTGGTGGCGACAGATAAGAGACAGATTGTAAAAGAGAGCCACCACAGCCCTATTTTGTGGGGCTAGTAGTAATACTAATGGCCTAGATGAAATCCAATGTTTGCTTCTGTTCTAAGGCTTTTAATTTGCGAACGGGGTCCCCAAATGCACAATTCCCCTACTTTCAGTGAAACTAATTAATGGCACACAAAGCCTGCGGAAATTTCAGGACTCTAGGCCTATTGATTATCGCCATATCCGCATGCCACATGTTTTAAAAGGCGATTTGTGTAGCCATCGGCAGTAATGACTTCGATGACACGACAAGGCCATTTCTCGACTGACCTTTTTCTTGCCATAATGCACACTCCACACAGACTTGTCTTCTAGACCTCCGATCTTTTCGCCGATCTCATAGGGGAAGCTGCTTGCAGGATCTCTGGAGAAAAATGACCACATTTTCTCTCAAAAGCATGAAATCATTGTAGGCCAAACGTTGCTGCCTGTACGCCAACGTGTCGCAACTTAGTTTTCCACAGTCCAGAGTGCCACTTTATAGTTGGCTAACGTACGTGCATGCATCACGTACAAACTTATTCATCTAGTACCCAGACGTCATTCATTTAGGCACAATGACTACTGATGAAATCAATTCTCCGATGAGAAGGGGAGCAGTGGATTGAGTAACGACGGGAACCAGTGTCCTGGGACAGGTGTGAAGAGTACCCGTGCAGTTTTGGGGTGAGGAGGGTCCGTTTACGTTTCGTTCGTTCGTTCCTTTTTTCGATTTGAAAACGAACATCAAACAACCAAAAACACATTGTCTTCCGTTCTTTGATTTGAAAACAGAAACCAAAAAAAGTCCTTTTCCGTTTTTTGATTAGAAAACGAAAAATGAAGAAAAAGATGCAGAAGTCGTTTCTTGTCCCAGTCGAAAACGAAAAACAAAGTAATCTCTCTTTTTGGTACTTTTAACCCAATTTTGTTCGACTGCACACTTAATTCAGAAGGAGTCACGGATGTCTCGGAGCATTTCTCAAGATGAAAGTTGCCTTTGAGCATGGGAAAAAATTCTTTGTGACGGAGTTGCTCCTTCCTGGTATTCCACGTTTTATTCGATGGGTTACAAAGACCTTTCTTACATTACAAAAATGAAAAATGAAACTGTTTTTCATTCTTACATACTGGACCAATTGATTAAGCTGTTATCCGTTTTCACTCTGAAAAAGAAAAGAGAACATGACTGAACTTTTTTTTGTTTTTAAATGAAAGACGAGAAGGGCTTTTCGCGCAAAGCATGCTCCGTGCAATTGGGACAAATTTCAAGGACCGTGTGTGGCACAAAAATTTTAATTCATCCCGCGATTAAACTGCGGAGACCCAAAATTATTTGGGGATTTTATGTACTGACATGATGTGCATTAAGTCGAGGGGGTTTAAAAACGTGCGGGGTAAGACATTATTCCAAACGCAAGCACACTCACACACATAGAGTACCGAAGTGAATACCTCACGCGCACAATTAATGTGTAAAAGGCATTAGCGCGAGAACCAGTTCTGAAGTGTGACGTCACTGTGAACCAGGAAGTGCAGTACAAACGAATGGAGTACGCGCGCGTGTTGGTTCACGCGCTGGTTCTCACGCTAATGCCTTTTACACACTGACATATTCACTTCGGTACTCTATGGTCGCGCATTCAGTTTATGAGGTCACAAACGGTGCCTTCTCCAAGGAAACACAATAAACCGTGATAAAACAATGCATAAATTATTACGCTAACTAGTCCAGTTTCAATCTCATATTTGAAATAATCTTTGAAACCCGCAATCCAGACCGTAAGTATAAATCACCTAACTTCAAATGAGATGGGTTGTGCAAAATCTCGGATTGGACCAATGCCGATAAGCAGTACCATTGCCATCGAGCGTTCTGACCGTCGAAAAGAGTCAAGACCCAACGGGAAAGCGCGGAGGCGAATCCGTTTTCGCGCAGTGAAGGTACAGAATAACAAAATTCATTTCGTGCACAGAGAAATTGTCATGAACTATAACGGTATTCTGACCAAACTTGGCCTGTAGCCTATATTTGCACAAACATGTACATTTACTACAAGGTGGTTCTTGATTCTGAAATAACATTTTGAAATCAATCTGAAATGTGTTGACAAGTTAAATTAAATGTTTTACTGGAACTTCAATTAGCACAAACGGAGAGAAATGCAGATACATTTTATTACAACAAAATTAGAGGTCACGCTTTAGCTAATAAACTCTATAACTGCATGCTATCATGAGTTGTTCATATTAATCAAATAAAAACAACAGTGCATTTCCGTAAGCTCTATAGCATGGCAACTTTTGCCTTTAGGGAAGCATTTTATATTAAGCGTGTTTAGCCTCCTTTTTTAATATTGTCCATTTCTTCTCTCGCCCAGGTTACACCCGCCAAGTCTCACTTAGGAGGAGGCGACAATCCTGAGTATGTCGATAAGCTGAAAGTCGACGTCAGCGTTCGGCCAAACAGCCGAATGGAATCTTCTCTCTTCACGTCGAACAGACCTGAAGATGCTACGATCTACCCAGACACGTGCAACGTCCCGAGACCCAGCGACCTGCATCCCACGCTGTCCAAAGCAGGTCAGTGGACATCCCTCCCCCCCCACACACACACGTGTGCCAATCCGTATTCGTTCTGTATGGTCGCGGGGTGCACCCCGGAGTTATGGGTCATTCTGTAAAATTGGGCTCCAAAGTGTGACATTTTCCGTCCCTGTTACCTCTGACATGAGTACCATCTGACATGGAATATTATTTGACAAGGGATATATCATGGAAATTGATTTCAAACTATTTTTTATTTATTTGGCAGGTAATTTGAAATATTTACTCAGTTTTGAAAATTGAACAGTGAGTTCTAAACATTCAAAATCATGTGAGACGTAAAAGGGACGGGAACAAAATTGGACCACAGATTTATAGAATGACCCTTCTCCGTTTCTCCCCATTAGTGCCACTTTTACCAAGTGGTACGTATTTCGAAGGGTGGTGCATGTTTCGCATTAAATTGGGGCTGCAAGATACCATGTTGCGGCCGTATCCTTATACATTACTCTAACTGAGTGATTAGAGATAGCGGTAAGTATTTGCTTGTAGGCCCATACTCTTCAAACGAGTTCGTTCATTATCGATTCTGGTTCTGCTAATGCTTGCTTTCACTACAGTATGTGCATAAACACTAAATTAAATGGATATCGTAAATAAAACTTAGTAGCTTGTGGCCGCAACTTATTTAGAAACATGCACCACACTTGGAAATAAAGGTTTTCTTTGCATGCCTATTGATACAATAGCAGAACCCAACATGATGCAATCATGCACCCCACAGTTTGGTCGTGCGCACCCCTACTTGGGCATATGTGCATCAATGTACAGGGAATCAATGATAGGGGTGCAAATTTAAACTTTTATTTCTTAGAGTGCACCCTCCGAAATACATATTACCAAGTAAAAGTGGCACTAACTTGGGGCTTCATAAGCCCGAGTGACTAGCACACTGAGAATCCCTCTTAAATTTCGAACTTTGGACTTCAATGATAGTATAGCAGAGTTTAGGATGAGTGCCGCACGCCCGCATCGCGGCTGTATAACAAACTTAATTGTACACCTTCAACCACCAACGTGGTAATTTTGTGGTAATTTTTGTTTTATATTAAGAAAATTGTTTCTTATACTGGAATCCCAACAGAAATTTAAATTATTTTTTGTATGTTGCGTTTCCTTCTCCGCCGACTTTCTTTCTTTGTCAAAATTTATTATAGAGCGAGGCCAAATTCAAGCGGACATTCTCCACGAACTAAGAGTTGCTGGCATTTTGGAGTGGCGTGCATCTGCATCCGGTGCCATCTCATTTACCGTGGCTGATAAGGTTGGCTCTGGGGGTGCTCCGCAGCCCTCACACCGCCCTCCAGCACGTCTTATCAGCCTCAAGAAGAACTTGAACCACTCGATGCAGGAACGCATGACAGCCGACAAACTAAAAAAGAGGATGGAGGCTGCCGAAAAACGACGAAAGGTACATCTGGCCGATGATATAAAAATAAAAAAAAGAGAAGAAAGATAACTTGTCATAGTCTGCCTTTGTCTGATATGGCTGTAAGTTTCTTTTAATTGATATTGGTCGTTTGGCGATCAGCTTAATCAAGATGCTCTAAAGGAGCGCCTCCGGGTACACTCTCGCCTGGGGATGCAGTACAGCGAGGCAGCAGCCCAGGCAGAGCGCGCACTGCAGCAGAGGGTTGCCGACAAGATCATTGAGAAGGAGCTAGCGTACAACAAGCGGGTAGAACAGATGAGGAAAGAGAGGAGGGAACGTGTCCAGGCCATGTCACGCAGGGGAGACCATGCCAAACAGGTATGGACTTGAAACATTCTTAGGGAGGGTTAAGTGGCACTGGTATATGTCTTTAGTCTATGTCTTCAGCCCATGGGCTGAAGATTCTTATACATTGATGGGTATAGGATGACAAAGTTTTTGGATGAAATACACAGACAACGTCCTTAAAACATTGTTAATGCCCCCTTCTAGACTTATGATCAAGTGTCTTCCATTGAATATTGCCTCGTATGTCTAAACATTAATTCTGAATGTAGCGCAAGTGTGACACAAGAGGGCAGCACACTGAGAGTCTTGCAAACAGTGCCAGAACTAGGTGTCGTGAATGATGTAGAGTTACATGTTCCGATCAGTCTCAAAGAGACTGAACGATTTTTGGAAAGAGGGGGTGTTTCGTGCATTAAACTATATTTTTCACATTGCTATTAGCAATTTTCAAGATTCGAAAAGTTCCAAAATCATTTCAACATTTTCTCTGATAATTATCAAGAAAAGAAAAGTTTTGAAAACGAGAAAACATCAATACCAGATCGCATCTCTGAAATGAAAATAGGGTACAGACTCTAAGCATCCTGGCCAGCTTTCAAAATTTGCTAGTGCACAATTTTTGTTGATAAAAGCCCATGTAACTTCCTGTTTGGAGATGGTAGTGGTTAGGTACCATTTTTAAGAAATAAAAACTTGAAATAAATAATGGACACTACTGATTGCTACATATACCTGTTAAAGTTTAACTGTTCTTATTAGCCAAGTGTACGTAACATGGCCAGTCTTAAACTGTCGAGAAAGCACTGGATGGCTCACATTGATCTCGATACTGTAGTGGGAGATCAATGGTGGCTCATCACGTTCTGCGCCACCTCACGCAATACGCGCCTATCTTTATGCGAGGCAGAAGATATAATCTGCAAATAGTGAGTGGCTGAGAACAGAATGAGAAGAATATTATCGCAATATAAAATCTGGACTTCCATTTCACAAGTTAAAAGGAAAAGCTAAGATTTTACCTTACGATTATATTTCTGCCATTTCACGATTTCATGCCATTTTTGTTTTATATGACTGATTGTCAAATAAACCTTTTTTTCGTTGCCTGCTTATATCATGACATTTGCTGAAAAGTTCGTATTCTGAATTCTGCTCCCTTTTAGGTCGTGGAGAGCTTAGATAAGGCCTGCCAGAAGCGTGCTGCCGACAACGTTGCCAAAAAAACAGAGCCTCTTCTTGACAAACGTCACACGTCTGGAACGCCTACGTGCAAACAGGTCTAGACAGATTGTACCACTAAGTCACGTGACCTATAATGGGTATCAGACATAGGCAGATATGACGCCCTTTCATAGCAAAACGTGTCCTCAGTGTCATCCAATATAAAGCCGACGGTCTTTAAAGTATTTTAAGACTACCGGTACTGATGTACTGAAAATCGGCCTTATTTTTGATAAAACGAAGACTTAAACATTAAACCGGCCATCATTCATGTCGATGTGTACGTGGAGGGAAAATGCCTTCTAGAAAGACCCTGGAACTGTCGGCTGATGGAAATGGCTTAAACGTAAATGCAATAATCACCGGAAAGTATATAAAATATGGGGAAACGGGCTGAGATAATGAAGTTTCCGGTCATTTCTGATCAGCAACGCACCAAACTAAAAGAAAGAGGAGAAGGGAATAATAAAGTTCACTGATGTAATCTGAAATGGGTATCAGCTGGAGTCGAGTAGAAAAGGTGCACATGCCAAAAAGTCATACAACCGAACTCCCAGGATGCAGAAACTTGGGAAAGTCCAGACATAATACCTTTTGCCAAGCAAAGTACAAACCTTATTCCCCTGTTCTGTGGAAAC